CTGTAAGGCGTCACTAACCGTGTGTTATGTTGTCATTAAAAATAATTCAAACACTACCAGTCCATAAAATCAAATTAAAACACTCTAATTTAAAAAAATATCAAAATTCAAATTTAAATAAAATTTAAATTTAATCAAAAATCAAAATTTAAAATTTAATCAAAATCAAACTTTAAACAAAATCAAAATTTAATTAAAATCTAAATTCAATCAAAACCAAAATTTAATTAAAATCAAATCAAATCAAAATTAAAAAGAAAGAAATCGGAAAGTTCAGCACTTGCACACAAACCCCAGATAGGCACTGCTCACAAAAACCCATCAGTTTTCTGAGAGCGACAACTGATAAAAATTTAATTGAATCAATAATATTGTTGAACTACACCATACTATAATCAATCATCAAGAATAAACCGAGTGTAATATAAATGTTCATAATTTTGAGAATACTCATGCATTTTCATTTTTACATTGCTTCCATGCAAATTCGTTATAACAACCAGAATTTAACGACCCTAAATAGTTACGATAGCTTGGGTCCTACATGAATTCAGTTATCATGACTCCCTTATTAAACAAAATCACCAACATTAATCCCGAAATGCGTCCTTGGCTTTCTCAAATCTCTCTTTATTTCCACCTAAATACGAATTGAAATTCTTATACCATAGTCATTGTTTATTTATGCAATGTTTGGATTGGAACACTACAACAGACTTGAAAATATGGCATACCTAATCAGAAACAATCTGACAGCACTAGAAACGCTCTAAAATTGCATCCTTTCGGTGCATAATACCAGACATTCAGCGATTTGATTATCATCAAATTAAGCGCAGTCAACCTTATTGCGAGTAATTTGTTAAAAAGTTGCAGTCAGAAACAAGTGTAAAATCGCAGCTAGCAAAAAATATCGAAAATGCTTATGGTTAAGTAGGTAGGTAGGTACTTAACGATTGAATTCCTCCACATGAGACCCCAAAGCTCAAGCGCCTCACTTTTGATTTTTTTTACACGATCCCCTTTTTTTATTAATTATATTGGTTTCAAAGCTTTAGTGTTTTAAACAAGGTCTCTTTACAAAAAATCCCCTGTTCGACGGATACCAAAAGAAGTATGACATCATTATGTCAGCATTACCATTATAAAATGGAATGTAGTTACTTACATTTCCTAGAGATTTGTAAAAATACAGAAAGTGAACCTCTCAAAGGATTGGAAACCGTATTGCGATTTTCATCAAATTCATAATAGCCAATATACAGGCAAACAGCAGGTACACGCCCAGTAATGACGTCTAATGTGACACCAAAACACTTCATACGCCGCCCACACCTTCTTTGCATAAGGTGCCAAAATGCATCACGAAAAACACTCGCTAGATGACAGTACCATTAGCGTACCACTTTTGAGTCGACACCAAAACATGCCTTTCCCTGTACCTAACAGTATGAAAAATCAAATGCAAGGCGTACTGAATTTATACGTGCACTGTGACTTCAGCAAATTAATACTAACACCCTCAGATCATAGAAGATCTGGGTTAACACCTAACATGTCTGTGGATGCTACTGTACACGAAAGTGTTAAATCCGTCTTTCTTTTCATTATTAGTGTGGCAAACAACAAATGTATAGCTAGATAGAACTGAACTGAATGAACAATTTCTTTATTTAAACTAGCAATAAAACAACAGTGGTGGTTGTTCACCCTTTAAGCATTATTAGAGCGTCTCTTCAGGGGACACATGAGTCACTATTCTATTTGAGATTAGGTATCTCATTTTTAATACACGTTTTATGACGATAAAACACAAATTCATTCTCCGCTCCACCATACCAGCGCTTTTAGATTGGGTCTTTCAATTCAGGTAATTGCACAACAATAATAGAACCAAAAATTTGGAAGGCGGAAAAGTAATCCTTTTAATAGTTTATAACTTTCAGTGGTAGTACCAAGTATTACTGGTATTATTCTTTAAATAAGTCAAATTAAATGATCTATGACCGATCCAAAAGATTCAGTTTAGTAAAAATATCAACTTTCAATTTTACAATTACTTAGAATACTTGTCTATTCTAAAGTAGGATACTTGTCTAATCAATTTTATCCTTCATGTATTTTTGACACAGTATACATTTTATTTAAATTTCATAGTATATCTGTTTCATTAACTTTAGCACGATCAGATGGTGTGCCTACTTGACACAAATTAACCAGTGGTTATTTTTTAACATCTTTCGAGTTTACAACAGCCGGTGCAACTCGAGCAAAGTCAGGCAAAAAGTGGTAATAATTATTTTATTATTGCCTAACCACGTATCGTGTCAAAGCCATATTATTGAGTTACAATCTAAATCTTACGAACCATCTCAATGTACGAAAAATTACGATCAATAAATAATAAGTTACCACCACATTAGTACCTATTTTCAGGAATCACACGAAAATCACAAAACAACGTATCAAATCAACAATCGATCACATAAGTATCAAAACAGACTTAAGACTGAACGTTACCACATGCAAGTGACCACATAATTATGTGTCATCCAGAAAATGTATTAAAACAACATTTTCTCTATTCAAAGAACAATCAGCCTCAAAGTCAAAATAAAAATGGAACGACTGACCGTATGCAGCAATCTCCACCACCGTGCAGGCTCGGTGATGCTACTCAGCTCCTGATGATCATACTTTACCAGAAGCTGTCTTCACCTGGACACGCGGACAGTCCACGCCATTTCGCACTCGCGACGCGGAATCCCACTTCTGATGTCGGAGCGTCGGGCTCTCGGACGGCACCAGAAGGGTCTCTCATTGAATTCATACTATCTACCTATGTGGGCGTATAGGGAACACGTGCGAGTGGATACTAACACTAATTATAATCACTGATTATAAACGACTAACTTTACAAATTTCTCTGCAATGTGTTTCAAGTTTTGTTTAGACTCTTGTGTATTTTGAATTAGTTTTTCAAACAATTTCTCTAATGCTCCTGTTTCTCTATCTTGTACAGCCACAGTTTGTTCTTGTTGTATTTCCTCTAAGTATTGATCTCCAAATTGTAAATTACTATCCTCATCTAAGTAGGTATTTTTAAGTTCTCCTGACATTGTTATCCAAACGTTTCGTACTTGATATCTTTTCTTTAAGCTGTTTTTTACCTTGATAAAGGCCGCTGTTTTTATTAATTCTCTGTGATGAACAACAGACTGGAGCTCTTTTGGTATGACATAAACTTTATTTTCACTCGTAGTTATTGAAGTTATACAATGTATATTCGATTTTTCATCAGTCCCCGGAAGTAATGTGAATTTGAAACAAAGTTTTTCCATCTTCATTTCTTCATAAACAAAAATGTCGTTTTATAAAGGACTCTTTCTCAGAGATAAAATAAACACATGTGTTGCTCTGTAAAATAAAAGATTTATTTAATATTAATACATTTCCCATTGAAATAAACTAAATTCCTTATTCATTGGCTATAACACAAACCTGTAAAATAAAAGAAACGACATTTAAAGTTTAATAATATCTCTTAAAATATCTTCATATTTTCCACAATGACTTTTCACTATGACATTTTTTGACAGACATTTTAAGTCATAGACAAATCATAGACCTTAAAGTAAAAAGTATTTACTTTACAAATATACTGTTAGAGTACGATAGTGCAATTCAGGCTTAAACTATCGGCAATGTTGTACAATAAAAACTGGTGATTAAAAACATCAAGTTAAAAGTTTTTCGGGTTCGATTTTTTGAACTTATTTTTAATTAACAATTGAGTTTTAAGTTTTTTCAATTATCAACCAAAAATAACCCATATCTGTCTTGTTCAGTCACAATCTAACAACATCGAAATGGTCTATCTATTTAGGTTTGTCAAATCCCAGCATGTTATTCGACTGTGTAGTACGAGCTTAATTAGCAGGTCTATTAATATTGCCTAGGTTGACAAATTGTCTGTCTTGTTGACTGCGCGCAGACTGGAAGGGTTGTGGGAGAATTGACAACTGTTTTACATATTATGTAATCAAAGCTGTATTTTTAAATTTAGTTCAAAAACATCGTTCAACATATAAAAATGTTAGAAAATGATGATTTATCTCGTCAAAATAATCGCAGTTTATTAAAATCTCTAGTTCCCTCTAGTAAGAGATTTGCTAAATCCTACATAAAACGGGATCATAATATTTTTAGCTTTGAATAAGTTCAATAAAATATTTTATTCTTTTGTATTTATTATCACTTAATATCCAGTATGGCGAATAATTCAACCTTTGCTTAGTATTAAATTTGGTTATGATGTATTGTGCGAAAAGTTATTTTGCACTGTCGAGAAATCTAAAAAATCTGTCAAACAAATATAACGGTTATCGTTATAGTTACGGTTAAAGTAAGTAAACACTTCCCAACGTAATAGAAATAGAAATATAACCAAACATTTTGTACCGCAGACATTTCGTTACAATGTGTTTAAATAAGTCCATAAAATAATCCTAGTATCCTCCCGTGGCCCATATTCCCGTTTTAGTTCATCTTGATAGCCTAAACTGCACAAGTTTCCAGCGATAAAATGGCAGAGGTCTCGAGTTAATATTAAATATGGTGCTTTTCATATTCTTTATTTGTTATAAAAGTATATGTATAAGATAGACTTTATTAAAATTGAAATGTTTAATTTCTAATCTAAAAAAGCTGTATCCTTTTAATGGTAAATACTCGTACAAGGTCATATTTTAAGGTTCGGCCAAACCAACGCGTGCAGCCGGCGTGCACGATGGCGATGGCTACCAGACAGCGTGTATGAATTTGTAGCGATGAGTTCACATCAACGCGTCCTGTCATTGGTCGCGGCGATCTATGCAGCGTCTGCAAGTAGCGATCAGCGATCAGCGAGCACTTAAATTAAACCACAGAAAATAGAAATTAAAACCGGCCAAGTGCGTGTCGGACTCACGCACAAAGGGTTCCATACCATTGATTTATGAAATTATTATTATTTTTTTAATTTAAGTTATTTGTGTGAAAGATTACGCGGTAATAAGCGGTTTACAATTTACGAGGTATTAAAAAAAAATACTTACTAGATCTCGTTCAAAACAATTTTCGTTGGTAGTTTTTATAGTAATGTACATCATATGTTTTTTTTAGATTTTTCATTTTCTTATTTTAGAAGTTAGAGGGGGGGGACCAACTTTTTTCCACTTTGGAAGCGTCTGTCACGCAAACTATTCGGTTTAGAAAAAAAGTATTTTAGAAACCTCGATATCATTTTTGAAGACCTATCCATAGATACCCCACACGTATGTGTTTGACGAAGAAAACATTTTTGAGTTTTAGTTCTAAGTATGGGGAGCCCCCATTATTAATAATACCATATTTATTATTATTTTTTTATTTTTGCATCAAAATCTTAATGCGGTTCACAGAATACATCTACTTACCAAGTTTCAACAGTATAGCTCTTATAGTTTCGGAAAAAAATGGCTGTGACATACGGACGGACAGACGGACGTACAGACAGACATGACGAATCTATAAGGGTTCAGTTTTTTGCCATTTGGCTACGGAACCCTAAAAACCCCCAAGGAAAAACATAGGCGATTTAGATGTCACACAAACATTATGAAGATATAAATACGTAATAACATTTTATCTGTCTATTTGGGAGGCCAAACTCGAAACAATTACAAAGTTTATACCACCAGCGATAATGCATTAGCAAGTCACTTGAGGAGTTTCGCAAACGTTAAAATAAACGTAAACACGACTTAAATTCCGCCAACTGCCACACATAACGCTGGGAGCTCGTAAACAAAAGATAAAACAGTCACAGAAACCACAAAATGGGGAGGTCAGCCAGTTCATTTCATCGAGGTAACGTTAGCCAACCGTCGTACATTGAAAATTTTAAATTCGAGTCAGTACTCGAATCAGTGTTCACTATAAAAAAAAGTTTATACTTTTAATAAAATAAGACTGTTTACTAACTCAAATAAAAACGTTCTGAAGAGTTCAATGGAGTTCCTGTGACTTTCTTAGGTGTCGTCATAGTACCCACAGCATCATCATCAACAGCCCTTTACAGTCCACCCACAGCATACTGAACGAAAAAGCTGGCAACTGGGAGATTCCTCTGATGCTCTATCTAAGATAAAATTGACTGATTTTTAGTTTCGATAAACGGTCAAACAATAAGAAGGTACACTGGAGTTACATCGGTGGGAGTAGTCCTTTATATTTTTTTCAACTTACTACTAGCATAGTGATAAGCTTTTATTTACTTGTAATATTTTGGATCATAGTTCTCTAAAAAATAGGTATGTCATGATCAAAGTAAAAGTTCTATAATAGATTATCTTATTTTCTCTCTTTCTCTTCAAGATAAAGATTTATTTATTTATTTTATTTATAACAGTGCTGGCTGTTCTTTTTGGCCTGTTCAGATACTATATCCATAATGTGATGCATCGTTTTTCATTGGAGTGAATGAAGTATAGCAACATTGTAGTTTAAGCGTTTGCAGTTAAGTTACTTTTACGAGGTCCAACTATAAATAATAGCTTTCATCGAGTATGTTTTATCTTTACTATTATGAAAGATATGAGGTTGTCGGTATGTATGTTAATGACTAGTTACAGCAATTGGTTTTTCTTGCGTGAAATTATAAAAATTCTGATGTATTACTTATTCATCAAAATCCGTTTACGACTTTTGCATGAAAAAGTAACAAAGCTGGATGATTTACAAACTTTCACATTTATAATATTAGTAGGATAGGTACGTACAATTAAACGAGGCCTAATGGTAGCGCATTTTCTTACATAACTTTTCAATTCCTATCATTGGAAGTCCGAAAATATTTCTCATACAATTTGATACCATAATGATCATTCTTCATAAAAAATTTAAAACCTACATATTTAAAAACATAATCATTGATATTCATAATATCACTAATCATACACTTAGTTTTTACTAATATTTGTTTTCATATATTTTTCTATACTAATGATCGAAACTCATAATCATTCGAATAAATAACTATAATATTCATAAATGTGATGTATCCTAATATTTGTTTTCATAAATTTATTACTCTTATAAGTGTATTTATCCATATTATTGAAAATCATGATGTCTATATTCGTATTAAATCGAATTTTAACATTAAATTAATTTGAAATGGTCCAAAACAGGCAATATTTTGTGCCACAAAACTAACGTGACAGAAACGAATCGCTGCAAAACCGACTCCACGTAGTCTTGTCTGCCCTACCCCTAGAGTGTAATTTAAAAGCCGGAGGCGCGGAGGGAGGGCAGCCCTCGCCCGCTGTAACGAGGCTCAGGCGCCCGGGTGAGCTGGAGCGGCTGAGGCTGGTCGCCGAGGCGCCGAAGGCGCCGATGGCGGTCCAAAAAGCCGAAGCTGCGGAAGCAAGCGTGGGTGCCTGAGCCTCGTTACGCAAGGGCGGAAGGGCTGCACATCCCGCAGCGCCGGAGACGAGGAGATACCAATGCATGCTGCATGCTTAGTTTCATGCTGCATGCTCTCCATGCTTATCTACTCTATTAGATTATATATGATTTTTTTAAAGATACGAGTATGTCTGTTATAAAGTAAATTATTCTGAACAACAACATTATGAGTTGAAGTATGTTCTTAGTAACAACATTATTAATTAAAACAATATGATCAATGCATGTTATGAAGAAAAAAGATCTGAAAATAAAAATTATGTATTTTAAATGGTTCTTGGTAGTAACAGTATTGATAAAAAAATTATGATTACTAACTGTTATGAGCTCCGATGGTAGTAATAAAAATGTATGAATAAAAAAAGTATGAAAAATAAAATTATGAAGAGAGATTATTATGAACACAAATCGGTAGTAAGACAAAGAATAGGATTTAGAATTTTATGTGAGCCAATATAGAACCCAATTAAACGAGGCAGATGGCATTTCATATCCACTACTAAATAAATATTATCAGTCCGCTTTTGCCAACTCGCTTTGGCTATATCGACTCTACCGAGCTTAATCGATTAATGTATCGAGTATGCGTCAGTCATTATAAAGCCTCACAATCTCGTTGGATTAAAATGTTGCGGGATATTATGTGTCCAACTGTCCAGATATTTAGGTAAAGTTAAGTGAATATCTTCATTTGATTTCATCCAAATGACGTCCACTGCTGGACAAAGGCCTCCCCTAAGGATTTCCATAAAGATCGGTCCTGTGCTGCCCGCATCCAGGTACTTCCCGCAACCTTTACCAGATCGCCCGTATCACTAATAACTAAACTCCATACCACGTAATATTTTGTTATACTTAGTTATTTAAGAGCACATCTGGTGAAGGTTACGGGAAGTGCCTGGTTGTGGGTAGCGCAGGACCAGTCCTTTGTCCAGCAGTGGACTTAATTTGGCTGAAACGACGAAGACGAAGAAACTTTTTTCTTTACGCTGCCGGTTACAGCACAGTTGCATCTTCAATGCGAAAACTCATCCAATTTATCTAATACATTCAAGGTTCAAGTTGTTCACAATGAGCTTTTGTAAAATGAATGAAGTATTCAAAATTCAGGACACATTGCTCCAGAGCATCATACCCGAAATTAGGCACTTTCAGATTAGCATAA